TGCTCCGAGCTCTCCTGAGCCCGCCGGGCTCCCCATTGGGTGCTGGGGCGATAGGCAAGGCCCTTGCAGCGACGCAGTGACAGCACATGTGCACCTGTGCACCTCAAGATGTGTCGGGGAGCACCGGGGACCCAGGGAGCTCGGGTCACCCTGCGGGAGGAGCGCGGTGCCGCGTGGGTGTGCAGGGCCTCGTGGGCGTTAGTCCTCCCGAGGGCTGGGACCGGGAAGCCGCGCTGACCTCCGCTTCCCCGGCCAGGCCAGGCAGTGTGGGGCGAGAGCGGCGAACTGGTGTGCACACGGCCTGTGCCCTGCCAGCCCACGCACTTCTGGGACGACGAGAACGGCACCAAGTACCGCAAGGCGTACTTCTCCAAGTTCCCCGGTAGGTGGCGCTGGGCCTCGCCGGCACCTCCTGCACGGCTGGTGTGGGTCCTGCGAACCGGTTCTGGGTGGAGTTGGGCCCACCCCCAGGCCTAGGAGGAGGCCGCTAAAATCCGGTGCTAAGATCCGGTTCTGCCGCTGGCCCGGGCTCAGCTGTCCCTTCATGTCTACGTGGTCGCCCAGGCTCCTGCATTACTTAGCAGCTGGGCCACCCGTGGGCAGGGCCAGAGCCCTTGGAGGGGCCCTGCCCGGCCGGCGCCCACAGTTCAGAGCTCTGCCTTCCCCTTTCTTGCAAGGAACCGTATCCGGCCTTCCTCCGGCTCTGGAACCGAGATTTGGGAGCCTGTGCCCCAGAGCCATTTAGAGAGGCGCTTGCCTGCACAAGCCCCCTGGAGAGGTGCTGTGGTTTTACATAAGTCACATGGGCAGTGGACAGCGGTGGGGGCTCCCCTCCGCCCTCCTGCTGGGCCTCACAGGTGGCAGTGTCACACGGGGACGCCTTTGTGCGCATGTGGGGTCTCCGAGCCCTAGTTAGGGTCTCTCACCCCATGGTGAGGTTTTGCAGCCCACAGATGCAGCCGCAGAGAATGCTGGCCCAGCCTGAGGGGAGTCTTCATGGGGGGGAGGGGGCAGGAATGCAGCCTTTCGTCACTTTTTCCAGTCACTTTTTTTCCCCTGGTCACTCTTTGTTATGCAC